ATAAATGTAAATGTATTTTATACCTAAAATGTACCAATAAATATATATATAAATTTAAAAAAATTAGTTGAGTATATTTATCTGGGTCTGTTTCTATGTTCTCTATTTTGTTTCATTTATCCCTCCACCAATACTACACTATTTTGATTACCAGAGCTACATAATAGCCTAAATATTATACATATGGCAGAATAATTCCTCTTGCTATTTTTTGTCAAGATCATTTTACCTATTCTAGTGCATATACTTTCTATATTAACTTTAGAATATGCTAGTCTATGCATGAAACAAACTTTGTAGGGATTTTTTTATAGGACTTGTATTAAACATACAGGGCAATTTATAGAGAATGGACATCTTTGCTAGGTTGAATCTTTCAGAGAACGTGCTTTATCTCTTCATTTCAAATCACTCAAATCATATTTGATTTCTTTCATCAGTATTTTGTAACTTTTCAGGATATAGATTCTGTATGTTTTGTTAAGTATACACTTAAGAACTTGATCTTTTTTAAGTGACAGGACATAGTGTGATGTATTCATTTCAGTTTCCTTATATTCATTAAGAGTATATTAAAGTGCAACTGACTTTTTTGTGTTCCTATTATGTCCTGCAATCTTAGTGAACTCACTTATCAGTTAGTTCTTGGAATTTTCTGGCAGTTTCCTTGGATAGAGAATTATATCATTTGTAAATATGGATAGTTGTTATTCCTTTCCATCCTGTTCTTTATTTATTTCCTTGTCTATTGGAGTCACTAACTAATCAGCGGAAGAAGGATAGCCTATTCAAGAACTTCAACATACATCTCATTTAATATAAAAATTAATTCAAAGCAGATCAACAGCTTACATAGAAAATGCAAATCTATCAAAGATTTAGAAAAAAACATGGAATAAACTCTTAGGAGCTAAGTCTAGGCAAAGAGTTCTTAGACTTATCATCAAAAACACAATCATTAAAAGGAAAAATTTATAATTTGGGTCTCATCAAAATTGAAAGCTGTTGCTCTTTGAAAGCCTACCAGAGGAAGATGAAAATTGTGAGAAAATATTTGCAAGCCATATATCTTAAAAAAGGACTACTATGTAGAATATGACAAGAACTCTTAAAATTCTACAATAAAAATCTTAAAATTCAATTAGAAAATGGGCAAAAGATATGTGAGATATTTTACCACACAGAATATACACACGATGCAGTGCAAAGGAGGAGGCTTCTGGGCTGCAGTTTCACCACTCCCAGGGCAGACAAAGAGGCTTCTGGGACACTATAGCAGTACTCCCAGTGAAGAGGAGGAGGCTTCCTGACCACCTTAGCACCGCTACCAGCACAAAAGAGGTGACCCACACAGGCACCAGCAGCACACCCAATCCCCCCCTGTTGAAATGAGAACACACATAAACAAGCCTCAAAATGAGACTTCCAGATCACCTACAGGAACCCCAAAGGGAAATGAGATGAAACAATCTGATACTCAACCAACTGGACTCCCTGAACTGGCAACAAAAGTGGATCTGAAAATATGAAATCAGAAAAAATTTCTCAGATAACAGCAGAGATTGTGCCCATAGTGAAAGACATGATTAATAAATCTAGAGAGGACACAGAAAAGAAAATAGAGGAGCTGAGGAACATGATGGAATCCTAACATAGGAAACAAATGGAATCCATAAAACAAATTCAAATAGATTTCCAGGAGATTAAAAACTTCACTGAATGTCTACACAGCAGAATGTGCCAATGTGAGGACAGAATTTCAGATATAGAAGATAAGATTGCAA